AGAAACCAATTTGAAATGATTAGAACTTTATGACATGGTGCATTATCCTGCTGGAAGTAGCCATCAGAGGATGGGTACATGGTGGTCATGAAGGGATGGACGTGGTCAGAAACAATGTTCAGCTCACCCGTGGCATTTAAAACATGCCCAGTTGGCACTAAGTGGCCTAAAGTGTGCCAAGAAAACATCCCCCACACCATTACACCACCACCACCAGCCTGCACAGTGGTAACAAGGCATGATGGTCCATGTTGTCATTATGTTTAAGCCAAATTCTGACTCTAACGTTTGAATGTCTTGTAACGTCCAGCAATGGTCAATTTTTAGAGACAGTTTGACTATTCAACATTTGGTCAAAATGGAGACATGAGACTGCATGTGTTCCCTTTAACCTGCCTGCCTTCATCCAATCCGCTGAAGCTCAGAGCCTCTCTGCAGCTCTGAACACACGATAACGTATTGTCAACAATGATGTTCTCTCCTCAAGGCCCAAGCTTCTCTTATCGTCCTACAGGATTCTTCATGCCTCTGAATAAGGAACACTCGCAGCTTGAATTAGTTACTAAATCAAAGAATGATTTCTTAAATTAATATGAACATTTAAAACTTATAAGTTAGATAATCATTAAATAAACGTTTGTTAATTGCTACTTATAATAATCACAATATAATGAAATGCTTTCATTAATCTGTGCTTGAGTGATTGAAGTTTGAAATGAATGTTATGTTATGATTACAATGATTGATATATGTTTCAGCATGTTGATATAACAAGGTCAGCACCATTTGCACTCACACAAGGACAAAGTAAAGTTAAGTCAAACGCGTGACAGATAGATAGTCCTTTACCCCAGATCAGAGCATCCGGTATTAAGGAAGGCGTGTTTCTGATGTTTTCTTGGTAATATTCCTCAACTTGTCAACCTCTGGTTGGCTACACAAATCATAACATGAGAACATTAAAACTGGATCACTCTGGTGATTCATCAATTCTTGAGAAAGCTTCAGACTGCCATCTGAAGCAAAACCTCTCTAACCCATCAAAGCTTTTGACATGTCATCAAAATCTTTTTGCACCTGCGAAGCTGATACAGCAAACAGTTCCTGCAGAAAAAGCTGATTCTGTTCCGACTCCTTAAGAGTCCCAGACGTGCGGTTCTAACCATCTGTCGTGACCCGAGACATCTCTGGACTGAAAAGTCGGTGCTATGGTATTCTACAGCCCTCGGTGCCAGAGGTAATCCGACCTCTCTGACCTTTGGATCCACGAAGAGGGTCTCCGAGAACAGGTGAAGTAGACACAATTATAGCGTCTGATGCCTTTTGATAATAATCAACTTCATAGCTTAACGCAAACCAAATTCTTTTACACCCAAAACTCAGCTCTCCTAGATACGGAAGTTCTGACAACATCGCATTCACACATAGGCACCATACACTACACCTGCTTCATCTAGAGCCATCCACTCACAGTAAATATTAGCTAACTTGTCATGTTTTAATTGTTTGTAAAATAAATTCTTACTTTTTTAAACCTGACTCTTTTCTAAATCAAAACAAAGTGTTTACAATCCCTGAATAAAACAAAGAATCCTAGAATCTTCTGATTAAACACAGTAAAGACCAAGCAGGTTGCTATTCTATATTTATATAGAGTATCACAGCTTATTGGTAGAGTAGAGGTAATATACAGTGGGGCAAAAAAGTATTTAGTCAGCCACCGATTGTGCAAGTTCTCCCACTTAAAACGGTGACAGAGGTCAGTAATTTACGTCGTTGGTACACTTCAACTGTGAGAGACAGAATGTGAAAAAAGATCCATGAATTCACATGGCAGGATTTTTAAAGAATTTATTTGTAAATCAGGGTGGAAAATAAGTATTTGGTCACTTCAAACAAGGAAAATCTCTGGCTCCCACAGACCTGTAACGTCTTCTTTAAGAAGCTTTTCTGTCCTCCACTCATTACCTGCATTAATGGCACCTGTTTGAACTCATTATCTATATAAAAGACACCTGTCCACAGCCTCAAACAATCAGACTCCAAACTCCACTATGGCCAAGACCAAAGAGCTTTCGAAGGACACCAGGAAAAGAATTGTAGACCTGCACCTGACTGGAAAGAGTGAATCTACAATAGGCAAGCAGCTTGGTGTGAAAAAATCAACTGTGGGAGCAATTATCATAAAAAGGAAGACATACAAGACCACTGATAATCTCCCTCGATCTGGGGCTCCACGCAAGATCTCATCCCGTGGGGTCAAAATGATCATGAGAACGATGAGCAAGAATCCCAGAACCACACGGGGGGACCTGGTGAATGACCTGCAGAGAGCTGGGACCACAGTAACAAAGGTCACCATCAGTAACACACTACAATGGCAGGGAATCAAATCCTGCAGTGCCAGACGTGTTCCGCTGCTGAAGCCAGTGCAGGTCCAGGCCCGTCTGAAGTTTGCCAGAGAGCACATGGATGATACAGCAGAGGATTGGGAGAATGTCAAGTGGTCAGATGAAACCAAAGTAGAACTTTTTGGTATAAACTCAACTCGTCGTGTTTGGAGGAAGAAGGATACTGAGTTGCATCCCAAGAACACCATACCTACTGTGAAGCATGGGGGTGGGAACATCATGCTTTGGGGCTGTTTTTCTGCTAAGGGGACAGGATGACTGATCCGTGTTAAGGACAGAATGAATGGGGCCATGTATGGTGAGATTCTGAGCCAAAACCTCCTTCCATCAGTGAGAGCTTTGAAGATGAAACGTGGCTGGGTCTTCCAACACGACAATGGTCCCAAACACACCGCCTGGGCAACAAAGGAGTGGCTCCGTAAGAAGCATTTGAAAGTCCTGGAGTGGCCTAGCCAGTCTCCAAACCTCAACCCCATAGAAAATCTGTGGAGGGAGTTGAAAGTCCGTGTTGCTCGGCGACAGCCCCAAAACATCACTGCTCTTGAGAAGATCTGCATGGAGGAATGGGCCAAAATACCAGCTAGTGTGTGCAAACCTGGTACAGACCTATAGTAATCGTTTGACCTCTGTTATTGCCAACAAAGGTTATGTTACAAAGTATTGAGTTGAATTTTTGTTATTGACCAAATACTTATTTTCCACCCTGATTTACAAATAAATTCTTTAAAAATCCTGCCATGTGAATTCATGGATTTTTTTCCACATTCTGTCTCTCACAGTTGAAGTGTACCTATGATGAAAATTACTGACCTCTGTCATCATTTTAAGTGGGAGAACTTGCACAATCGGTGGCTGACTAAATACTTTTTTGCCCCACTGTATAGAGAGCTCTTAAAGCACTCAATTTCTCAAACCCTACAGTCTTAACAGAAATCAAGACTCATCAGACCAGGCAAAATTTTTCCAGTCTTCAACTGTCCAATTTTGGTGAGCTTGAGCAAATTGTAGCCTCTTTTTCCTATTTGTAGTGGAGATTAGTGGTACCCGGTGGGGTCTTCTGCGGTTGTAGCCCATCCGCCTCAAAGTTGTGTGTTGCGGCTTCACAAATGCTATGCTGCATTCCTCCGTTGTAACGAGTGGTCATTTCAGTCAAAGTTGCTCTTCTATCAGCTTCAATCGGTCTGGCCAGCGCGTCGGCTTGTTGGGAGCCCCAACATGTCGGAAACAAATGCTTGGTCATCCATTGTCATTTTTCGACACTTTGGGTGTGAGAATGTGTTGTGAGGAGAAATTTCAGCACTTAGATTAAGGTGTTAAAAAGTTGAACGTACAGCAAGGAGATAAGTTTCATTTTAGCTTTTACTAACTAACACTAGAGGGTGCTAAAAGCAAGCCAAAATCACATAGTATCCCTTTAAATAAGTAATGTATTTTTCAGAGGCAACTTTAGTTGCACCTTTAATGGTAGATTTTTGTACTGCAGATTACTTGTAAATGTTTTATTTTTTATTTTTTTTACCTTTCAAAGTAAAATTCAGGTTCGGGGCTTTGCAGAAAATATCTGGGGCCTGAGCCTACGTAGCCAACCCCAAACACTGCTGTCCCTGTTCAAGAAGGGACTTCTTTTGCTTTTTATCCAAGGAGCTTAGTTATGGGGATAGATTTCATAAACATTTTTTTCTCTGACAGGCTAATGGACAGGATTTTCTGCTTGATTTGAAAGAAACTTCTCAGTTTTCAAGAATATTATTCTCTTGGAAGCAAAAAAAAGAAAATAAATGTTTTTCTTATTCCACTAGTTTAGTTTCTTTGTGGGAAATGTCATGTAGTTACTGGTTTTAAAGATTCTCTCCCCCTCCCAGACATTTACATTGGGTGTGATAATGGTTGAGGACACAACACTACAGCTGTATTTCCGGACATTAACACATTCCCACATGAACTCTTGTGAATCAGTTACTTACTCGGTGCTTTATTATCTAGCTTGCATTTTTATTGTCGCTTTGTGATTGAGCTTCGTCTCAAAAGGAATTAACTTAAAAATAAACCCAGGCCTGAAGAAATCATCATGTCCACAAGAGGGTGGTAAATAGCCACAAATAAAAATCCAAGATTTTCTCAGGTTTAACTATTTTTTTCCCAAGTAAAACCATATTACACCATTATTCAGTAGAAATAAAGGGATATGGGTTCATAAGAGATATTTAAGTAACTGGTATACATGTACATTTCAATATGTAAATAAAATTATATAAATGTAATACAAGAATGTTTGGATGTAAACAAATATTGAAGCAGGTAAAATACAGCAAAGGCTAAACTTTAGTGGGCATGGCTTAAAACAACACTGAAGAGCAGTTAAAAAAGTGTTACATCATTAGCTTTACACAGTTTCTGCCCAAAATGAAGCTTTGAAATCAATCTGTTACAACAAGATAACCTATCTTCTCTGGAACATGTGTAAACATCTTAAAAGTGTTTATATGGCAACACAGTGATCATTAATCAGCTGACATGTGACTAGTGATCACATGACTTGCTTTATTCTGAAAAAAAAAAAACAGATCAAGAGAAGAACAAAGCCACTGGTGTGTTTTAATACTTTTATTTAAGTACAACAAGCCCCACATGGCAAATAAACATCTGGAATGAAAGTTAAACAAATTTACTTGTAAATACAGGATGAGAAAGCCACTGACAACATTAACATCAGTATCTGATTTCACCTTCTGGTACTAATGTCGATCCAGTCCCTCAAAGTTTTCATTTTTACAATAATAAGCCGCAGCACTAAACTTAAATGAAAAAGTAAATGAAATGTACCACTGTGGCTCAAAAACATCAGAAAACTTTAAAATAAAATATTCTTAATATAAGAAACACTAGATGTAATAGTGGAGGATATCACATGAAGCTCCTACAGTCGGACAGTGGAAGGTAACGTCATGAGCAAACGTATCAAAATACTTTTAAATAAAACATAAAAGTTGACTTTTCACTGCCGACTCCTTATACATCTGACAGACATTTTAAAATCTTTGTATATGAATTATATAAAAATAACATTTATATCTTGACATCTTATTTATATCTCTTAATTCGGTAAAAAGTGCAGCGTTTTTATACTAAAACACAAACAGGTGATTAAAAGCAATGGTGTGCTGGTTTGTAATTTATAACACATCAAAATGTCAAATTAAAGACTTGTTTGTCAAAATTGGTTTCATTGATCCCAGAGGTAAAAATCGTCCCACTTTCATGATGTCATCTAACTGTTAGTATCTTAGTTTTGGAAGAGATTAGAACATAAGTACTGAATAATAATTTTCTGCAGGTGTGCCAATTTTATTGATTCAGAGTTCTGATTTTAAACCAACTTCACTTGCTGCTACAGATGATAAAATTACTAGTTGGAAGAATAAAATCTCTTTAAAACCCCCAGATTGCTCATCCATGAATCATCATTCTCCTAAAAACCAACTCCAGTTTGATCATCAACTTTAACAGAAAATTTGGGTGAAACTGTCCTTCCTCTTTTCACCTGAAGCCAACAAACGACAAGTTACATGTTCACTTTCATGTCTCTTAATTCTCCACATGCCTTTGTCCCCGACACATGTCTCAGAGTGAGACCTGAAGTCTGAGCTGGAACACACCTGGATGATTTATTTTGTGTCCAACTCTAACAATTCACACGTGAAAACAAAGTGACCTTCATGTTTTGGCTCAGAACTCAAATCTCTTAATGAAAGCAGCCGACTTGCAGCCACCATAAAGTGCTCACATCTACAATAAAATCGTGCGCTTTGTGCTCCAGTACCAACCAGCTGGTGTGGTTCCTTCATCTGAGTAGTTCTACAGACTCCTGAAGAACTGCAGAGAAAGTTCATAGGTCAGGAACATGGTGGAGCTCATGGGGAATCCTCGGATGGCGTTCACAGATGCTCCTCTGAAGAAAACCTGCACAGAAAAAACGTGACTTAAGTACAGAAATGTTTCCAGCATCTGATTGTGATGTTTGTAGAAATCAACACTGTTCTGTTGAACTAATGAGTCCCAAAGAAGCAGACATTTACCAACTAAAATGATTTCATGACAAGGCCAACAGTCCAGAGGGAAATGAGGAAAAAATAAACCAAAAATGAGTCTGACATGTTGTTGGACTCTGAAGGACATCCTCTGGTGACCTGATTGCACAGTTCAGTCCACTTCCTCAGAACACCAGAGGGATTTCTCAACCTGGAGACGGTGGACATGACTAACACACTGAAACAGAACTGAATGAACATCTGGACAGCAGATCAGAGGTCAACCTAAGGTTAAGGAGGCGCTGGTGATGCAAGCAGCCACCTGACCTCTCAGCCCCTCCAGTCACTACCAGGAAACAGCTTCACACTCACCAGAACAACAAACAGAAATACTGATGAAGGACTTTTTACCAACAACTAGGTTTTCAGCCATAGCTGAGCACATTCTGAGCGATTTCTTCACTCCAAGAGAAAATTCACAAACTATTTTAGGAGATCCTGGTTCCTGTTGGCTATTCATTTATTTAGTTTACTTTTAATGACCAAACCTGGAAAATATGACCAGTCTAATGATTAAAATCAGGTCATAAAGACTGTTTTCCATCTGCAAACAAACTAATGAAGCATAAACTAGCCAGGAGAGTTTGGACCAGAACCACGCAGGCTTACAAACAAACTGTTAGGTGAACAGGGATGAAGAATCCCAGTACATCAGAGATGCAACAATTTTTGTTTTCAACTACAAATGACACAACACAGATTAATATTTCATTCATGATTAACTAGAAAATTCTAACATTCAAGGTAAAGCCATCACATGGAAGGACTAAGTGCCAGCATGGATTGGTGTCTAGTCATGGTGGGATGTACCGATCAGTGTTGGGAGTAATGGCATTTAAGTATAACGGCGTTGCTAACAGCATTATTCTTTAGGTAAAGAAGAAATCTAATTGTTACCTTTCCCATCGTCGCAACACCGTTACTTGGCATGTAAAGTGGTGCGTTACTCCGTTACTATAACATGGTTGAATGAAGCACAGCAACTGTCCTGTCTGACAGCCACACCAGTGATGCACGCATGAAATGGCTCTTGAGCCGACCGGAGCCGGAGTGAAGGACACCGGCTTTACCTGCAATCCCACCCCGAGCCGGTGTTACAAACCGCAAAAAGGAACACACAGCACCGAACACGTCAGGGTGTTAGTTTGCAGATCAGAGATGAGCGTGTGCACAGTGTCGTGCACACGCTCATCTCTCCCATCGCTACGAAGGCAGGGAGGGGTTGGCGCGTGCAAAATGCCTGGGACAATTATTACATTAACGTGATGGATCTGTAAATATTGGTGGGGACAAATCCGTAACGGACAAGGAAAGAAACAGCACTTCAGAAAGGGTGAGGAGATGAGTGAAAGCAGTACAGGCAAGACAATACCATGTCTATGGCAAGCTGTTTTAACATTTAATCAACAATCTGACCTCTCTGCAACTCCCATTTTTTTATAGCAACACTTGAATTTATCCTAGTACTAACTGTATTCTTGTTAGTCAAAATTGCAAATGAAGACAACAGCTGTGTTCGTACTAGTTATATAATTAAAAAATACCCATAATAACAACTTCACTAGTAGGGATTAAGTTTGAAACATCTCAGAATCCCTTTCTAACATTTATTAGGCAGACTGGATCTGTACTCCAGATATCCATAAGGACATTCCTACTGAATGAACATGAAGATATCTGACATGTTCATTCTAGATAGTAAGAATCATTCAGTTAAAAAAATCTTTCACTTTATAGATAAAGAATGAAACTGCGTTATAGAACATAAAAAGTAAAGCCAGTTACTTTGCTAGGTAACCAATTACTTTTACGATGTGGTAACTGAGTTACTATCTCAATTACTTTTTGGAAAAAGTAATTTGTAACTTTAATTACATTTTCAATGTAAGATGAATACTGGCGGATTCCAGTTACCAGGATATTTTTGTTCAGGATGAATTTCTTAAATGTTCTTTTCAACCTTATTATTTTAGTAAAGGAGTTTAAAATGACGTAAAAACAGTAAAAAACTAAGCTAATGATAAACACATATTCAGACTTTTGTTAAATGTTCTAGAATTTATGCCAGACTGTATCATTACAAACATAAATGTGATATCAAAATAATCTGTATTCTGGAATAAATCTTAATTAGATATATTTTTAAAGACAATACCTCCACAGGGTGTTTGGAGTTGTGTAGAATGAAGGTACAGTGTTTGCTTTAAAAATCATATTTTTACTTAAAAAAATTAGCAAATATTTGTTTTGATGGGCACACCACTGGGTTTGTTTACATCCACCAGCCAATAGAGGGCACCGTTGCAAGTTTCAAAACAGTCTGCTCAACACAGCGAGGCTGGCCCTGTGGAAAATGGAACTCTACGAGTCAAGCAGCCGTTTCTGAGCCCAGAAGATGTGATTATCCTTCTCAGAAGAGGTGGGTGACCCTAAAAGATCTAAAATCAGAGTGAGTTAAGGTGAAGCCTACAACAGATGGACCCAAATAAAAAAAACATCATGTATTGGCAGCAAATCTGGTGTCCCTACAGCTGGAAACTTTGTTCTGTTGTTGCTTTGGTGTTCGTGTTCCACCTTTAATATAATTTCAAAAAGAAAAGGCTGCTTTAGTAGAAGATAACTGAAGTGTCACCTGTGCTCCCTCTGTTTTGTAGCTGTGGGAGATGCAGTGTAAAATTCCCTTGTATTTCCTCTGAAGCTGAGCATCAGCTTGCATTCGACTCTTCACCACATCCGCAGGTGTGGCCGTGACCCACGAAATAGAACCTGAGAAAGAGAAGAGGGTCAAAATCGTTAGACGTGATTCAGTGAAGAAATAATCCATCCATCCTTGCTTTTCTGGGACTAGCAACCTGAGCAGAGATCCTGATTCCCTTTCCATCTTGGCCCAAGGGAAAACAGGGGAATTCCCAAACCAGTCTCCAGATAAGAGCCCCTAACACCTACATATTTTATATATATATATATATATATATATATATATATATATATATATATATATATATATATATATATATATATATATATATATATATACACACACACACACACACACACACACATTGATATATTTATTTTTTATTAACGCTGGGATTTAGTTTAACCCCAATCCATTTTCTGAACTTTCTGCAGCTCATCAAATAAGACAATAGGTTATCTCGTTAAATAAACCAGGTCATGGATGCACTGAGTAAGAAGAGTTTCTAATGAAAACTACAAATGATAACATGGTTTAACCTCAGCAAAGATCTCAGATGACCAGTTCAGCTATTAAAGCAGCAATGGCAAATTTGTTAAACTAGCTATGCACTTAAATGAAATAAATCTAAAAACAAAATAGAAAAGGGCTGATGAGCAACATTTGAGTGGATAAACATCACATTTTTACTTTTATTACCAGGTTAAATGTAGGTTTTTTCCTGATGTTCGTTTAGGAGAACCAAACATCTGGATCTCAATAATCTACAGGACTCCGCTGTCCAACCCTCTCTTTCATGTTGACTCACAGCTGGTTGTCCTACATCTGGGAACAATCGTGCTTTAACAACACAGTGTTTGTCCACACAGCACATACAAGGCCAGCTCTCTCTTGCTTGTGATTGGCTGAATCTTTACACGCCTCTACTTGCTGAACAGAACAGTCTAGACATGGAATCCTGCTGGAAAAAACATTTTTATCTTTCCATGTGAACACTTCTTTGAATTTCTCTACCTGGAAGAGGGGTCACTGCACTCAGAAAGCAGGAAACTTTAATAAGCTGAAGTCATGTGCATCACACCTTTATAAAAGGGGTCATGGGTGCTTTATAAGTCAATACACATAAAACATGAAACAACCTATAAACGGCAAAACAAAAGCCTTTCAACATAAAAAGAAAAAAAAAGGTTGTAAATATAAAATTAAGACCAATAATTTATCATTTAAGGAGTGTATTAATGTAATAAACCATGAACTGCTTTACTTCAAATGCTTAATTTCACACATTTCTTTTGTATCAGATTTTGAAAATTGCACTTTTGTTTTGAAGTCATTAATAAATAGGTATATTAGATAAGGTATATGGTATATAAGAAAATAAGGCATAAGTTGAGGGTCTGGCATCCACAAGCCCAGAAGTCCATAGATTCTTCACAGATGATCTGATTTGAGTCCCAACCTAGCAGCCACGTGAACACTGAAGCCAGAATCCATCTTATTTGGAATTACTGGGAAATCGTACACAAAAACACACTAACGAACAAATGAAAAAGTAATGCCAAGCATTTCTCTCATCTCTGAAACAGACCAGCTAGTGACTGAATTGTCATTACTTTCAGCGCAATGTTGAAGGAAGAAATGGTGAAAATAGTCCTCTTTCTGAGGCTGCTAGATGCAGGTTGGTGTATGTTCAAACATTTATGGTGGAGTTTACCTGCTAAACCTCCAGCAAGCCAGATGGAGAAGGGATGAGGGCTCGACGAAGTGTCGGGAGTCAGCAGGCCACAGAAGATGGCGTAGGGGATGAAGTAGAGCATGTATCCGGGGACGTCTCTCAAGATCATGGCCCCGGCCCCCCTGTAAAGTCCCTGGATGCCCTCGGTCTGCAGAATGCTGCTGATGCAGTGGATTGGACCTCTGTAGAGGCGCTGGCTGGGGATGTCCATGGCACGGAGAGATATGTTGGTGCTATTGGGAACGTTACCAGCAAGGTGGAGGTTCTCTGAAAATGAAATGGGAAATTACCTGAACTTGTATATCGCCTTTAGGAACAATTGGATGCTGTGTTAGGTGGGAGTCAAATCCAACAAACGCTGGACACTGACTGATCGCACAAAATCTTTGCTGATGACCTTGGTGTCGGCTGTCGTGACTCAACCCTGGTTGTCTGTTTGCAAAGTATCTCATAAACCACCGGATAGATAAAAATTGTCTCAAATGAACCACAGAATGTTAATCTACTACTGGTAAACTTTTTAGAGTCAACCCAATTAGCCACAGTTGGCTAAACTAAGCAAACACACAAATGTCTAACTCACTAACTGTTAGAAGCAGAGTGATTCACAACACATACACCTCAGTTTGCATTGGTCTATTTATTTTGTATGTTTTCAAGATGAGAAAAATAGCCAAATTGCCAAAACCAGCTGGTTTGAAGCTCCAGTGTGAAAGGACCACAAAGCCTTTAATGTACAAATATGCATGTACATCTCTTCATGCTGCTGTTTCAACCAATTCTGTCTCTCATAATGCTGTGATTGCCGTCATTGTTTCTTTCTTCACATTTTTCAGCCAGATTTTGCATTTTCTCCATTTTTTGTTACAATGTTTTTTTTAATTTGTTCTTGTGAAGTGCCTCGTGATTTTTATCTTGACACGCTATATAAAAATCATTTTAATGCACCAGTATCCCACCAGAAATGCTCATTTTAATCAAATTCTTATATATGGAGGAAAAATGAGCAACCACAGGACAGCAGTAAGCAGAACTTCCCATCTGTGGTGAGGCCCGGGTTTATTCAAAACATGAGCCACAGCAGGTTGTTCCTCAAAAGAAAAACAATTTGTGCCAACTGATGCCACAGCGGGAATGCCCTCAAAGTGTTTTGCTTTGAGTTTGGCGTGAAATCTTTATGCTGCTGCTCTGTTATATGATGATGGCGTGGTGCTTATTTTGTGGGATTTGTGTGAATTGTTCAATAAAAGTTTGTACAAAGAGAGACTCAGCATCTTCTACATGAGTGAGGCTATAAATTATGAGGCTGTAAATTATGACTTAAAAAGACTGATGGTCAAAACATCACGGATATTTATTAGAGTAAAAAGATTGTAGCAAGGTTCCTTAGAATAAATTGGTCTCACTAAACTCGTTCTAACAGATAACTTTGCTTCTGACTTTTCTGCAATTTGGCAACGGTTTTAAAAAGTTAAATCTGATGTTCACGTCAAAGTCCCTCACTCCTGCATGCTCACACCAAAGATTCATGATATGAGTGGAACCGTGTTTTGTCGTTCCTCCACAGAACGGTTAGTTTGTCCGAAGCAACAAGAACCATCAGATCTTGCTGTAATTATGTCAAAAAGCTTTCATCTAAACCAACTGCAGCAGATCTTGGCTGCTGATTAAAAGGATTTTTAGCATTCTAGTGATAAGATCATCCTACCATTTCAGGTTTATCAAAGCGTGATGTTCAGACCAAACCTCCTGGCACTTTGCACCATCATAAAAACCCTTTGAGGCTTAAAGCAAAAGCTCCTTCACAGAAGAGAATAAAATAAACTGGAGTACCAGGAGGTCAGACGTCAGAAGTGTGGATGTTTACGTGCAGTTTTATCTCGTAATTGAACCACTTCAACCTGAACCTTATTGGTTTACTGCTTAACAAAGCCTCCCACCCCAAACAACACAACTCCCAACTTTGTCTGAGAAAACATCCCACCGTTGGACTTGGACCACAAATATGTGATCCAACTGTGACCCAGCTCGATCTCATTAATGCTGATTCATCATTTGATGTTGAGAAACAGTGGAATTATAGTTATTTTGATCAACAATATGCATGATCTCATAATGTTGAACAAGATTTTTAGTGATCTATTAGTGCTCCGAGGGTGATAGATGACTCATCTATTAACGCTCCAACAACAGTAACAATGACTTTATTTGCAGCCATTTTGTGTTTTCTGATGTAGATTAGCCGAAGCAGCCAACTCAAGTTTTAGGTTTCATTATAATCTGTCCGGTGTTTCGGGAGATATTTTGTTAATAGACAGGTGAACACATATATATCCCACTGTTCGTAAATATACTTCATTTTAAATGTGAGCAGAAATGTCTTCAGTTTATTAACATGACCAGCAAGTTTTTAGGACAGCTCAGTGAGCAAAATGTTCCCTAATATCAATGATTTTATTCTAACCCTAATGTTAAAATGTCTGAGTTCACATTTTGTACATAAATAGGTGTGTTTGTTTCAGACGACAGCATGACTGAGTTACACTGGCCTGGTTTTTGGGCACCACAGCAACCAGAGGGCAGTGCCGAGTTCAAACCCAACAAATCTTCTTCACATGGACCTCCTGCACTTCTTCACTTGTTAAAAAAAAATCACGTCCAAGTCATCTCCAGCTGTTATTGAGGAGTTCTTTAGCCCCGAGCCCAGGCCAGGTAACTTCACTGTTCAGTTTATAATTACGTGCACATTTGCACCGTGGGTATTTGCTTTCTGACATTCAATTATTAATAAGTATTATAATTAAGAAGTGAGCTCCATCGATGGTAATGATGATCATGATGATGATTTTAACAGACAGCGCTGTAAGCTGTACATGCAGGCTAAGGGCCGGAATATACTTGATGTTTTAATGACGCATACACACGTTTAAAAAGGCTGCCATGCATAACTAACATTTGTTTGAAACATTGTTTGTGCGCATCCCCCCAAAATAACACGACTATTCGAGTAACCAGTCGGCAGAGTTGACAAAATGAGTGAGACACACTCACCATGGTGACTCCCATCTCTGCTTTAGAGGTCTTTCACACCATCAGTTATACTGCTGCTGGTTATCTTCATCATTATTCAAATGTAACTTTTGTTTCTAATACATAAAACCGCTTATTTTTTCTTTGTGAAGTGAAATAAAATGTAAACATTTACCTGCCAGTACCGTCTGCGTCTGCATTTGCAACCTGATCTTGACCAGATCCACGGGCGCTCCCAGTCCCACTGAAACCAGTCCGGTCAGCATACTAGCCACCGTCAGGTCCAACATGCCACATGGGTGCCGCCCATCACCATAGCGATACTTGCTTATTAGTCTTTGAACGTTACTGAAGAAGCCAAACACAACAGAATTGTAGACCGTGATACTGGCCAGCGGGAAGGACATGCCCTTAAAGAAGCCTGTCACCTGAACATCCAAAATGAAGAAAACAGTGCAGTTAATATTTATAAAATGTTTTAGACGAATAAAAAACAACACTGTTGTAGCAGAAGGGAAAAGAACATGTTACAGTCGAGACTCTGAGGCTGTCGGCTGCTGCCAAAAATGTACAGACTGTAAAGAGATGCTGCCAAATATTTTTCTCTGTAGAAAGTTTTCTCCTCTCGCCGCAAGGGAGCTTGAGTTTATGAAGACTCATATTGGAACTAAAACCACAGCCTGAATAAATCATGTAAACTCTGGAGGAAGTTAAGCTGTGGTTTATGTGGAAAACTGAACTGAAACATCTAGAGCAGAAAAAGACAGTAAAACTAGAAAATCAGGGCAAAGAATGAAACAAACACCACACTCCTTCAGCTAATGGCGATTAAAACCCTGTTACAGTGACAGAGTATAACTAGCGGGTGTTTCTTTATTTCTACGTGACAACACCAGATAAACATACACATTTCTGACATGTTTAAACACTAACACACAGACACAGAAGTCATCTATGGTAGATTGTGGAGAACAAGAGAATGCTTTACCATTTCCTTCCTGTAGATGCTGAGGATGCAGTGTAGTGTGTTTTTATAACCTTTTCCAGCCTGAAGCCGCGTCTGAAAAAAGAAACTAGTCAGAATGTTGTACCAGGATCTGATCATCTGCACTGCATTAGCATCATACTGAGGAAACACCAACCTTTTATTAAAAAAAGTTCAAGTCTGTATAAGATTAAAAACCATTTAGGGAACTGTTTGGAGATGCAGAGTTACGGAGGACTGTGTCACAATGACGGGTATAAAATCTTGTAATGCAGGCTTTTTGTAAAGTTTTACAAAAAGTCAATGCAAAAAGAAAAAAGAATAAAAATTCAACATATTGTTGGCAGATGTTGAGTGGTTTTATTTTTTGTTTTAGGGCTTTGAGAATTTTGACTTTCAACAAAAATTGAAAGCAAGTTTGCACTTTCAAATTAAAAGCACATTTGTTTCCAACACCATCAACTATTTTCTCCTGAGTGACATCTCATCACTCCGTCTGATTTAAAGATCAATAAACATTTGTCCTGTTTGTCATGTAGACAGTAAATCCTGAATGTTTTTCCCTTTAAAGAACAAAATATTTTTTTCTACGTTGCGGCCTCAAACGTTAGCCTAGCCAGCCATGCCAATTAGAGGTGTGAATCTTCACTTGTCTCCCGATTCGATTCGATTACGATTATTGGGTCAACGATTCAATTCGATATCCCGATGCATCACGATTATTTCATATTGATTTGTTTTCATCGATAAATAGAAGATGTCAGATAACTGCTTTTTATTTTTTTTTTATATCTAAAACGTAATTGACACAACCTGCCATCCCTCAAAAGCTCTCCATTCACAACAGGTTAGGACAAAACATTTTAAACATTTAAGAAGATTTAACAAAGTAAAACATCTGTTTCCTGGTTCAACACCACGCCTCAGGCTGAGAAAAACACGCTTTGCAAAAACTCACAAAATCTAAAAAGTACTGAAAACCTACAGGACACATAATGTAATAATAAAATCCATAATGTGTTCATTTATGAGTGTTTAATGTCTCTGAGCAGCTCTAGAGTCAAATATTTATGCCACAGTTGAAGGGTGTCAGAAATAACACCAAATGAAATGTTTGACTTAGTTTGTTATTTTATTTGAACCCAGTGGTTCGTTTCTGAAATGTTGGAGAATGAATCAAGTTCTGTTTGATGCAGAAAATAATAAAACATAAAACAAATTCTACACTTCCAATAATATTTAAGATGTGTGTTTTATTCTTTCTGATAATAACACCAGCAGAAGGCTGTGGGCTGGATTAGGATTAAATTACCCAGCTGATGGATCTCCTTCACTAACCAGCTAACTACAAACCTTTCCACTAACCTGTCCTGTGGGACCCTCACCATGTAACCCTCGTGTCCATGCTGTCTCTGGAGGAGCAGATAGGAGACAGACCTCCTGTAACTTAAAATGAACCAAAGCTTCCTCCCAGTTTCTCTTTAAGATGAGTTTAACATCAGTTTATCTTCATGACACAAAATAATAAAGTGGAACAAGAACTTCTATTTCTCTCTCCTTTTAACTTCTCCGTGTCCCTAAATAAAAGAGACAGACGATCACGCTGTAGCCGCTGTCACTGACCCCGCCCCCTCCCCAAGACCAGCTCTCCCTACATTACAACAAGCAGTCTGACTGAGCGCTTCCAGGAGAAATAATAATTAAATTATGAAAATAATAACGCGTGTTTGGAGGAGCGTCCTCCGATCGTCTCTCTGAGCAGACAGTGTCTCTCTCTCTCTCTCTGTCGCTGATCGAGCGAGCGGAGCGCGCCGCACGACAACCGCTCAATTAACATAATTCACGGCCCAAATCCAACAGAACCGGTCGGGCTGATTCGGTTCCGGTTTGGTCTCGGGTGACAACTCTAGCGCTCAGCCCTGCAGTACCACATTAAGGCGGAGGTAAATGTGGAGGACGCTCACTCTGACAGATTTGGATCTGCGCTGGTGCCGCCATTAAAAAAAACAAAACTACATTCCACTATAATCGATTATGGCGTACTCTTCTACGATGCAGAATCGTTTATGTCCGCATCCCGATGCATCGATTATTTGATTATTTTCCTCAGCTCTAATGCCAATGCTTCCTTATGAGAAGCAAAGGGCCTGGAAATGCTCACATTCAAATAACCCCACACCTTGAGAATTCTAACCAAGCCAATCAGCACTGAGCAGCATCACACATCACAATGCTCAGTTTCTCATAAACATGCGGAGTTCACTGCGACTCTTCCCTATGTTCTAAGTTACTTGGGCATGTCTTTAAAACCACAACAAGAAGAAGCGCCAAAAGCAGTGACGGCTGGTGACTTTTTTTTGGTGGGGCGCAATTTAACAAGTGGTGTGCTGAAAAGAGCATGCCAGTGAGGTTTTTTAATAAATATGTACTACTAAACATGTTTCTTATCCATTAAATTCCTTAAAGGGGTTGTCAACCCTCCCTCAGAGTCCTTTTCCACCCACATATCAATTTTGAAAATTGCAACATTAATAGGCGTTGCCTGGTGGACCGAGAGGGCGGAGCCGCAGCAGTGACGAAGACGGATGGGTAACGAGATAAAGCTAGCTTTTTCCACTCTGAGCTGTCATTAGAAGTGGAGGACATTTCTCCCCCTCCTTACCCAGACACTCGAGAAGAAAGGGACCAAGTCTATTTGGAGGAGACAAGCGGACCTGAGCCTTATTGTTTTGAGCTTGTGCGTTGCCTGAAACTACCGGAACCGACCCAACAGAACCAGCTCTGAATGGTAAGTAGCCGTTAGCCATAGATTAGATTAGCTGCAGGGTTCGGCCCCACGGCCCTAGAGAGCTTTTATCAAGCACGTTTTAGAGATTTATCTGCTTCAACACAACTGATTTTAATCAGCAGCAAATAGCTGAGCTGCTGAACAGCTAATCCAACATGTTAAAGCAGGAAAACCACTAAAACATGATGATAGCAGCTCTCTAGGACACGGCCACCTACCCTGGGCTAAAGTTACTGTCTGCTGCAGAGAAAGCGTACTGATACCAGCTGTTCTCTTGGTCGTGGGTGATCCTCTGGTGGCGTCGTCAGGATCAGGAGCTCCCAGAAGAATGTGCCTTTGAATGATTCCTTTCGCCTCTAAACAGTTATTTGTTATATTAATTAAATAAATCGCAATTTATATATTTCCTGTTTTTGTTCATGTCCATAAAACACGCTTGAATTTAAAATGAGCTTTTAACAGTGAGGTGCTAGTTTAATTCATCACAATAGAGCTAGTTAAACATACAACAATGTGATAGTTCAATTAATGCAATTTATAAATATCCATAAAAATATAAAAACTGGAATCAAAATGAGATATTTGGCAGCACAAAGAACTTGTCAAACACAATATTTATTATAATAACTGCTGGCAGACAGGAGACAGAGCTGGATGGAGGTTCTCAGTCATCGAAGGATGGCTGAAGGCTTTCCAGGAACAGGAGATGTGGTGTTGTCTCTCTCTATTCTGCCAGATGAGCTGATAGGTTACAGGTGTGTGAGGACATCCTCATGCTGTCATGACCAGATGACAGGGGTTATCAGGTGATCAGCCAGGCTAATGATGAGATGCAGAAAGAAAGCAAATCCAGGACAGTGTACAATAATAACAATAATAATAATATGTGGTGTTGCTCACCTTATGTGCTCTTCTAGAGTATTAACGTGTGCATGCCTCATGGTGTAGAGTCCATATTTTGCTGAGTGTCCTACAATAATGCAGGTTATTAGTTAATTTACTTTTGATAGAAAAAAAAAATCCAAAATATTTAATGTAAAAGTTGTAAACCAGGCAAATCAGCTCACACGTCACCAAGTGTCACAGGACCAGAATCAGTAGTCTCCTTCATGATGTCATGATGTAATCTAGCTCCAAGCTCACAGCAGCAACACACGTGTAGCAATAAGCTATGAAACAAAAACAGATGATGTTAAAACTCAAAGGTTGTAATGAAGATTACATGATGATTAAAAACAACTCACCTTTACTACACCTGCAAGGCTTCATGTTAGTCTGGACCATTTGTAGCTACAACAGTCAGTCTGACAGCAGAGTTCTTGGGTTCATTTAGCCTGAAAGAAAAAAATTATGTACAACATCAAAGTGTTGTGGGAGGTAGTTTCCAGAGATGATGAGAAACATGTGGAGAGTGGAGTGAGGATGGAGCTACAGGTTTTTCTGTTAGAAGATCAGGAGGCCCTGAGGTAAAATGGGATGCTAGTGTGAGTCTGGGAAGCTACTCCTCTCCAGTGGTGACCAGCCAGGCTGAGATGTAAGGAAAAAGCCAGGAAACAGAGTACAATATTACTATTTAGAATGTTTTCACCTGGATCAGTTCATAGAGCTTGTCCTGTCATTCAGATGGAAGCTGCTCAGAAGCTCTCCACCACACCTGGGTCTGCTCAGGAGTGGAGAAGCTGCTCTGGGTGGAATTCCCATCATGGTCCCAGTGTCAGACACACAGCTGCTGGGAGGCTATGTGAAATATAAAGAAACAGCAAATATATTTATAGTTGTTTTGAAGAGCAGGAACACACGTGTGTAACAATAAGCTAAAATAATTACATGTTATAACTAGAAGGTAAAGAAAGACAGATGGTTAAATAATTCACCTGCAAGGCTTCTAGTATGGACCAGCGCAGGCTTGGAGGACTACATCCATCTTGGGCAGATTTAGCTTGAAAAATATAATAACATCACGTTGTTGTGGGAGTTTATTAACTTAGATCGTGTACAAAACAACCTGTCTAAGATACTGTATGTGCTTTATAACATGGCTGGTGAGTGATCTGACTGCACTCAGAGCTAACTCAGTGTCCAGAATCAGACATGTTCTAATGAGAACCGGACTCAGCACCAGTCCAGAACCAGGTCAGCTTTTTAGCAGAGAGAGGAGCTGCTCGTCAGTGTCCCTCCTGCTCTGCATCAGCGCTGATATTATTAACTGGCACAAAAACTTAACCTGAACCAGTCTGTGACATTATAACACACACACACACACAACACTCGCTTCGAGCCTGCGGCAGTGTGGATTGATTGTCTAAATTACGTGAACCACGTCCACGCCTCTCCTACTTTGCATTTATAAATATAGCAAATATAGCTGCAAAATTACAGGTAAGGAACGATCTTTAGAAGCTGTTAAAAGTAATTATTTAGCTTACTCACCTCAAATTGGGCCCAAAATCTCCGTTTTGAGGAAGCAGCAGTCGGCGGGATCCGGCTAATTACTGGAACGGTTTGGACTGATTTGTGAAATGCTCTTCAAACCAGCATAACCCAGTTCAAACTCCATCAAATTGGTGAAAGAATAACATGTAAAATACACTTAACTACAATATTAACAGCCAAGCTACTAGAACTAAATAACTATAATACTAGAAGTTTAGCTGGGACTCTGGCTCAATGCTAATGCTAACTACAGCACAACTCACTTGCGGCTAATTCAAACCTCGACTGCTACAAGACTGGTTGAGACCGCGGTGATTTTATAACCTACAGCCACAGAGCTGCTACGTAGTACTGTTCTTGGATACGTAGCATCGTTCTCGTTAGCCATTGGCTAAAACAGACTTAGAATAAACTTGTTCTATACTTATGAGCTGAAGATAGCGCTAGACTGACGTTTTTGGACAGAAATGAAGAGTTTTCAAAGAAAATGCGTCAAAATGAAAAAAAAAAAAAACTACACATGTCTACAACACTATTAGACCAGGGTTTTTCCTGCGTTCAAATTTGCGTGGCGGCCGCCTCCAGCTAATTTTGTGCCGCCCCAGTCTGATTTCACTCTGCCCCCAGCTAAATGGATGTTATTTTAACTGCAGTTTCAGCGTTGCGCCACTACAGGGGCGCTGCATCAGCAGCGGTGCACCAAAAAGCTCTAAAACCGCTGCAGAAAATGATCAAAAATGTATTTTCTCGCTAGTTGGTACTAATCTATGGTTGGTGCTATTGACGTCCTGATTTCCCCCCAGGCTCTTCCATATCAGAGCAGGGTTGTACAGTGCGACGAAAAAAACTGTCCGTGCTTGTCTGTCAATTTTTAAACGTAGCACTGGTGCAACATCTTTGAATTACTATTTTCCCCAGAACTTTATTGAACAAAAGTAAGTTACGTATAAGAAAAAATGCTTTTTACTGGCGCACGGTGTGGTCATCTGGATGCAGTGGAGGAAAATAAAGGAACCAGCAAAGGCATAAAGGCAGAACCGGCCCACAGTTTGGGATCAAAAGTGCAGCTACACGCAGACTGGCTAATGCTAAAGCTAATGGGTAGCAGTCAATCAAGTGGCGCACCGAAAAATATATGATGATGGTAAAACTAAGAAAGACTAAACTCTGCAAGCAGATGAAAAATCCCCACCATCCTGTTTATTCTGCATGCTGCAGTGCCATGGATCAGAACCGCTGCAGATACGAGTCACATTCGCATGACGTACGACAAGCCATTGTAGTATATAATTCAAAAACGCTTCTGTCTTTGAACATAATTTAAACTGGATTATTGCCAGCCCGTACATAATAGACATGTCACCGTTACATGGTTAGCAGCAGAAATTAAATGTTATTACCATTTCCAATACAAATGCATGTTAATGAAATGCATTATATTTTACTGGATATATTTGTGTTATTTTGACTAAGATGAGTGTTCTTAATACAAACCTAAAATGTTACAGAAATGTAGGTCAAATATTAAAAAATAATTTAACTATAAATATCAGATGGGAAAGAGGGAACTCAACACCAATCTAATGCATATCATTGAGCCTTTTATAATAAGAGTCTGTTATTTAAGCCTGATAATTTTGTTGTTTTATTTCATATTCTTTAGCAGCAAACTAGTTTTGTTTCACTTGAAACATTGTCAAATGGAATAATCAATTAATCAACAGAAGCTTAGATTAGAACACGTAACGAAAAAATATTTTGCCTTTAAAAAAGTGAGGCAGTTGAATGCACAGAGAATGCTTGTGCTGGCGCATGGTCTGGATGGTACCACCTCTGCCTCAATTTGAGCCAGGATAAACCCTGTAGACACTCATTTATACTTGTTATTAGCTAAAAAAAAGGTTGATTTTGATGTGACTTGCTCTTTAAAAATGATGGTTTATCTGCAGATAAATAAAACAGATGGTTTATTTGAAAAATAAATCTTTAAAAAATTTTCATTTTGAGTCATTCTTAGTTTCCTTGTTTTTTGTCAAATGTATATTATATATATATATATATATATATACACACACACACACACACACACACACACACACACACACACACACACACACACACACACACACACACACAAATCTTGTTTTGTCTCCACAAATAACACAAGCATCAAGGATGTCTGCCATGTTGTGGAGGTGCTAATGCTAACAGTTAGCTTCTACTAGTCGATTAGCATGCATGTAAATAGAGCCCTTTGACTCCTCTGGCACTGATAGGCGACATATCATCTCATCTCCCCTGTATTGTGATACGTATCGTATCACCAAAATTTCACCAATACACATTTCTATTGTTTAACTGACGCAGTTTTAGCCTTTTATGTGTTTGTTATCAATTATAGCAGACACATTCAATAGGACTGACTCCAAAAAGCGATCAGTTAGACCATTACTCTTTCAGAGTTTAATTAAAATCTGTCCAGTAAATTTATGAGATGTGACACACAGGTTATGATGCGATATCATGAGGAAAAGGTGTTTGTGTCTTTATATAACAGCTGTAATCTGGCTGAGACGGTTGTAAAAGTTAAGGAATGATGTCCTAAATACCTTCACTGTGTCCAGCGGATGTCCTACAACCACACTGGATGCTCCTGCAGCCAAGAAACAAAACAAAAACGAATGAACCAGACGTACTAGTAAACAGGAGGGAGTTATTTTGAAAGTCGGTGAAGCACAAAAACAACTTGGGAACTTTCAAAATGAGATTCCCAACATCTCTAACAGAAAAACAGCCATTTTATTTCTAAACCATGGTTTGCAGTATGTTCAACTAAAGCTTACTTCACTAAGTGTTAGGTTTATTGCAGGTGCATAAAATTTAGGCTGTGGTTAGTTTTCCATGCACAAAGCATGAGCTGATGTCAGTCTATTACATATAAATGTCTGTTAGATGGGGATCATAAAAGAGCCCTGGGGTAATAACAAGCTATTGTGGCCTTATTAACCGACGCCGTCTGCTCTTGCCCCTCTCTGAGCCTCTGTCTTCATCAAGCACACAAATGCACAACAGCATAATTTATTTTCCTGAACCTAGTGAATGTGGATTATGCATGTCATCAACACATCATTCCATATGCTGAAGCTGTAGGCACAGCTCTGGGTTGTTAAAGTTCCAGTAGAGATGCTGCACACTTTACAGACACGTCTGAAGATAAAGCCCTCTTTATCACTTCAGCTGGCTGGCATGTGAGCTATGAATGTGACGCCTCGCTGCAAATGCTTTCTTTATGAAAGTAAAGCAGGACTAAATATAAAACAGGAATATGTGCTGCTCCTGATGAATATGTGTGCAGCTAAAAACTGTTATTTCACCAGTTTCTTTCTCAATTTATCAAAAACCCAATAAAATATTATCATGTCAAAAATAGGATGAGAATTTAGAGAACTTAAGAGTAAAAGTTCCATTTTTGAGTGTTCATTAGTCCAACTGGAGAACTTGAGCTCTTACAGGGCTGTTTACATTGCTAATTTTTGTTGGTTTATTGGTATAAATCTCCGAATGTAAAATAATCTGCAAATGTTATTGCATTTAATTAGAACAGCACTTTTTGTTATGCAACTAAATCAGCAGCACCCCTAGCGGTAGCGTTTGGTACTGTACGTGAAAACCGCTTTAACACTACAAATACTGATAAATCCTGCAGAAAATGTTTAGGAAAACCTCTCTAAAGTGAAAAATAAGTGAATTATTTATAGTCTTACATTATGTAAGGCACTAATAAAAATAAAACTGTTCAATTATGGAAGGAAGAAGAGGAATCGTCTACAGACCCCCTTTGTGTACACAGGATGTGGATGCAGTAGTTTTCCATCGATTTGGACGTGAACGCCAGTTTATATGCGTTTCTGAAGCCGGTTATTCCACCTCGCAAAAACTTTTATACACATAAATTAAGCGTGTTAACATGTTTAAGTAGCTATGGTCTCATGCATTAATGTTCTTTGCAGACGCAGCTTTAAAAAGCACCTCTGACTTGATGACGTAGACAACAGCTTGCTACTCACCTCCGATCCATCCCGCGATGAAATCATCCAATCGAAAACTCTTTGAAGACTGCATATTTTACTCAAAACGGACTAAAAGCTCTTCTTTCCAACAAAACTCCGCCAGAGTCTTCGCCTGCTGTGTTCGAGGGGAGAAACGAGAACCGGTTTTTATCGATACGGTCGCAGCCTCACGCCTTTCTGAGAAAACATTTTTAACACTGTCTGAATTGATAAGGAGAGCACTCCGCAGCTCTACGCGACAACCAATCAGAACAAAGCATGGATCTGGGGGACAGATCTCCAGACCAATCAGACGTGGGCTTGAGAAGCCAAGCAGCCAATAGGAAGGTAATCATGGAAATGAGCCATGAGGAGAAAGAGTTTTTACAAAAGGCTGTTTTAGGACACAGGCGCTGACCTGATTTTACTCTCGGAAGCAAGAGAAAACTGTTCTCTGCTTTCTGACCCTTCCCCTAACTCAGAAGGAACTGGAACTGATCATCACACTCTTCTCCTATTCATGGACGATATAAGAGTAAGAAAAGTTGTAGTTTTCTTGTGTTTTATAACCCGATATGATATTCGGTTACATCAAATTCAACTTAAAGCAATTGGGAGGAAGCTTTAGTTTATCTTAAGTTGTAGTAGATGGTTTTCTTGTTTGTCTTATCTGTCTCTGCCTCAGACACATAAGAACATAAGGAGATAATAAAAGTTCAAATGTCCCCAAAAAGGCAGGTTATAAAAAAGATTTGTAGTTTGTTGGTTATTAAAGGCGATCCATTATAACTGAGCTACCATTAATTAATATTTCAGCCCACAGCCTCCCGTTGGTATCATGTATCAGCAATGATAAAATAAGCACCTACTTTTTATTGGATGTATATATATATATATATATATATATATATATATATATATATATATATATATATATATATATATATATACATATATATATATATATATATATATATATATATATATATAAATGTGTGTGTGTGTGTGTGTGTGTGTGTGTGTGTGTGTGTTTTGGTATTTTCTCCATGGTTCATGCTCCTACACATTTATCTAATTCAGAATAAAAAACTAGGCCAAAGTTTTCTTTTCCTTTTATTTATTGGTGCAGATGTATTTTCCAGTGATAATTTAGTTTGTTTTTAAAGCTCATTTATTTCAATTAATTTAAAAATATTATAACTTTAGTTTAAAAACCTGTTAAAATGCACTAGAATCTTCCTCACTGTAGTGACATTTAGTCTGTGGGTAAACTAGAATTAGACTCAACTTTGGGTGAATGATGGTGTCGATTTTATTTAATCTACAGTAAAATGAGCAGGAGGCACATTTAACATAAATACAATTTATGCGATATAAGTGCAGGCTATGGCTGCCGTGATGTTTGTTGAATGAAACTGGGCACATGTGCAGCCTTGTTTTTATTATTTTACACTCTTAAATTCATTGTCCCAGTCCATGCCTGTCCTCGGGGAAGGGAGTTGTCTACCCCTGGGAAACAGATGAACGTGCTGGAAACTCACTCACCTGAGAACAGACAGTGACCCAGAGCTTTGGGCTGACATTCTCACAGCAGTGAAACAGACTAGATCACATAAGAATACATTACTGATCTGAGATCATGTTGGATCCTTGCATCAGCTTGTGTACACAAACTTTTGGATGGCATGTTCTGTATGTATGATCATCATAAAATGTTAAACATTCACAGGATTATCTTCCATGAAACATGAGTCATTCTCACAATTTGTTTCAAAAACTTACAATGAAAATTTTCCAATGACTTTCTTTTTATCTGTAGAATGTTACCAAAGTCTGGAACACCCTGTCCCAAAGCAATGCTGGAAGACTGGTTCATGCACTGGTTAGGATTGTGGTCCCCATCTCTAAATGTAGACTTTTTAGCTGTCAGATTCCTCTCTCCTAGGTATGAAAACTCAATGCTCCATTTTGTTATGTTCGTGTAACAATCAGTGTCTATATTTGAAGATGGTTTGCTTTAATTCCCTTCCTGCAAACATCAAAGATTGTACACAATCTGTAACACACCAGAGTTATCTGGGAATGACTCTAGCATATGATACCACATTTATATTTATTTTCATATGTTTACATCCAAAGAAAATTACAAGTTACCCAATGTGCATGGTGTGCAGGAGGAACCGATTGCATATGTGTATGGCAACCATTATCAGTGTGCCTCAGGGCAGCTGTGGCTACATTGTAGCTCATCACCACCAGTGTGCACATGTGTGTGTGTGTGTGTGTGTGTGTGTGTGTGTGCACGCATGGATGGATGGCTAGCACTGATTTTGCACCTTCTAGGGTCCTACAACTGCCCAAGGTGCTTCACAACCAAACCAGTTAATCACACACACACACACACACACACACACACACACACACACACACACACACACACACACACACTAGCTGTGACAGACTGAGCAGGGCTCAAACCTGCAGTCTTCCGATTTCCGATTTTGGGGTTGGCACTTAACTCCTCTGCCTCTGTCGTGGCAGTGTAGATCTTGTAGTGTGAGCGCTGTGGAGTCCCCTGACTCCTAAAGATGCTGTACAAGTGCAGCTTTTTTATCATTTACCTTTAAGATTCATGATGATTTACAAGTCGTTTCAACAAAAGGAAACAAGAAACTCAAAGATATACTTGACCACTGAGTTTCTCCTTTCACCAAATATTGACTAACCCCCGGCTTCTAGCTACTGCAGGATTGTTTTATTTCTTGGAAACTAAAGGGTGTGAAAGGGTTAACTGAACAAATAGTCTGAATAAATCCTTTAAGTTAATGTTTCTGAGTTGTTCTCAAAAACACTCCTTACTTCTTCCTTCAACTCACGACTCCACCCAGGAATTACACACACATGGAGATAAAGTCTGTGCATTTTGTTCTAAACAGCTGAGAAAAGACGAGTCAAGTTTCTGATATGCAGCTTCTTTATCATTAGGATAACACCCCCCCCCCCCCCCCCCCCTTTAATCTTTTTTTTTTTTTTACCGTGTCCTGTCTGGCTGTGAAGCAAGCAGAATTGATGTCTTAATGCTGGTAACAAGCCTTACAGATTTACTCTCAGGTGGAGCATTAAAGCGTCTGCTTTTAATGTCACGCCTGATACTTAAAACTTTATTGTTATTGTTGTTGAATGCTTTGTAATTCCGACCAGACACGAAGACAGAGGTGAAAGAGAAAGGAAAAGACAAAAGTTGTGTGTGTGTGTGTGTGTGTGTGTGGGGGGGGGGGGGGGTTCCACAAAAATAAACAGTAGTGAACAAGAGTCTGCTTCTAGCTGCAGAAATGGACAAGAAAAGCAAAAGAACAAAAAAATTGGGACACAACAACAATACAACAAGATCAAGCTATCACTGCGTCAACTTGATGAAGAAATATAGTTTTTATCAAGGCAATATTTAAAGCCCAGGTTGTTCAGAACAATTCCGCTCAGTAGTTTTTTTCTGTGATTAAAAAAAGTTGTTTTTGTGAAACTTTTGTTGTTTCTGGGAGTTTAAAGTTGGATTGTCTCAGAGTTCTGATGAAAATACTAAACTGTTTCACATTGTTTCAGATACCAGCACCAGACAAAAGAACTATTCAACCATCTATCTTCATTTGCAAGGAACAGAATATTTAACCAATGTCCATGAGTTATGGCCAGGGATGCAGTGTAAAAAAAACAAACAAACACAAAAAGCAATATCCAATAATTTTAAGAACAAAATATTGAATAATATTAACAAAAGGCATCAGGTTTAATGTCAAGGAGTAGTAGAATTTTTTAAAGGTTAGATGTCTAAGTTTGTATAAAAAGCTTCGTGTTTTTCTACCACAAAGAAATCCATCAAACATCTATACAAACAGATGCTGTCGTTTATTCAAATGTGTTCTTCCTGTCAAAGGTCAACTAAGCTAATTTTATTGACTAAAACAATTGATTCAGGAGGACATGATCATGCAAGTTTAATCATTGTCTAAACATTGACAAAACCTTTGACAGATTGGTTTGAAAAAATCCTAGTTTCAAATTATTGTCTTTGTTGGTTTCACACTTGATTATGCGGGTTGCCTTGCAACAAGAAACATGCAGGACTGTCATCCTCCCACTGCACCAAAATGCATATTGTAAGTATAAGGACAATTAGTGTGAATGTGTTTATGGCCCTGCGATGTAAAGTCCTCTCAATCCTGCTCAATATCAATGAGATAAAGGAAGTGAGTGGTTGGTTTCTAAAAACACTTTAATAAAACCTGTCTGATAATATGAGGCTAAACAATCTAAAGAGCAACGAACCATGCCACAGTTAATACATTTAACATGCTGTAACTAATAGAACCACGAATTCTGCTCTCCACAAAAATCATTAAGGAGAATGTATGACCTTTGACATAAAAAAAAGTTCATACTGAAACAAAACCTTCCACTGTTGCTGAATGCAAACAATTCTGCTAAGAAAAGTAGAATCAAATTCCTCCAAAGTGATGCGAGACACACATTACCAGGCATCACAAATGCTCGATGGCAGTTGTTGCCTCCAAGGATGCTACAAACAGTTGTTAGCTTTAGAGGTATTGTGTTTGGATAATTTTATTCATTTAACCAACTGAAAACTGATCTGAAACATGTAAAGGAGACAGGATTCTGCGAGGACACAGTAACATTTTCTCAGCACTATGTTTTTGTGAATGCAGACTAAATGCAGAAATGTTTTATGGTCTTTCTGGTGGCGTGGCTAATTCTTAGGTTCTTGAATTCTTTAGAGCAGAAATAGAACATGCTGAAATCTAACACTACATTTTTTTATAGGGTGCGTGTGTCGTGAAACCTCTCATCAAGACCACAGTGGGTCTGATTGGATATACTTAGAACCCGTCAGGCTTCCAGGATCCAACCACATGCTGCAGAAACAGAAAACAGCTAATGAAAAACACAACTGCTTACTTAAGGGTAAGTGACTATTGATAATAATTAAAAGGCCATTCTGGTTCAATGAAAGGACAAATAAACATGTTAAAGAATCTGAGTTAATAGGTTAACTTTCCTTCTGGTAAGCGTTGTAATCACTGCTAAATATTAACCAACTGCTGCCACAGAGGAAGCAAATAGCCCAAAGAGACTTCTATTTTTTTCATTTAACCTTGCTAGCTAACTCACTCTGTCCCATTAGTAGCAGCTTATTCCTCACTGGGGTGACTGGGAGCTGGTGTCCATTTCCAGCTGT